TCCAATCTCTTGCTGGTGCCTCCCAATGCCTGGGCCCAGTGAAACACAGTCCAAGGAGGTCAGCTTCCCAAGGGGTAAAGAAGAGTGGAGAGTGCATATGGTGGTGCAAATAGGAATACCTAGCATATGATCTTTGAGGCAGCAGTGGACACTCAAATAGAAATTCCCAACCCAACCTTAAAGATATGAGACTCAAAGAGAACTCTTTTGCTCATTTTAATTGGGTTGTTTGCCCTCTTATTTTTAGTTGTAGTTCTCTATATATTGTGGCAACAGGTCCTCTATAAGATACATGTTTCACAAGTATTTTCTCCCTGTTGACTCGGCTCTTCATTTTCTTAACAGTGTATTTCAAAGATCAGAAGCTTTAAAATTTTAATGGAATACGATTTATTGACTTTTTCTTTTATGGCTTATGTTTTTCATGTCCTACTGAAGATTTTGCTTAACTCAGTGTCACAGTAATGTTCATGTTTTCTTATAGAAATTTTATTTTGGCTCTTAAATTTAGAAATATAATTTTGAGTTGATTTTTATATGTGGAAACACAATATCATACCATTTACTACTCAGAGAACATCTTAGCACCAGTTCTCATACCCAGTTCCCCACAGGGCAGCCCACTGAAGGCCTGATGTTACCCTGCACATGCCACAGGGTTAAAATCATAGGTGAGGACCCCAAAATTATGAGACTCAGAGCTTATAATGGGGCTGAAGGCAGTTGACTCATTCTCTTGTCCAGAGAATGAGAGATTTTACTCTGTAATGTAAACAAACCATTTCTGGGGACAAGGTGATGAGTTCCTTTTTTCCCCTCTTTTATCTCCCCTCTTTCACCTAGGTGGCCCAAGTGAGAAATGTATAGTAGGCACAAGCAGCAAAAACACCCAAAAGAAACACTGCCATACTGTCCAGAGGACCAGAACCTGAGAGTCAGAAAGTATGGAGGGAAACTTCTTTTTTTTCCTTTCTCTTTTCTTTTCCAGCTTTGCCCCAAGTTTAGTCCCAGTCATGGGGCTGCACTACTGTGGTAGTGGTGGAGCATGTGTCTAAAACCTCAAGAGATAATTTATCATTTTGAACAGGGGATTAGGGAATGACCACAGAGGAATCCCTGTCACTGTTTACCCCCAACTTTTTCTCACTGCTTGACCCTATGGGTGACCTCAGTCATGCAGAACTACATGGCAGTGCAGGTGGCTAAAATGCTAAGAGATACCTGTTTTTAGAGCCAGAAGACCAGGAAAAGAGGATTCTGAGGCCCAGAGAGTGTGAGGAAAATCTTAGAGAGCACACAGATAAAGGGATTCCTAGTTCTTTGTATGAACTGACCCATTCCTGGCCTCATCCCTAATCTGCACATGCTTAGAACTGACCCAAAGCAGCATTGCAAAGGCTTCGAAAATTGAATCGACAAAGAAGGCAAACAGAACTTGCAGTCTGAATATAGCTAAACTGACTGCCTGCTAAAATAAACAAATAAAAATCAACATTCTCTAGAGAATTTTAACTGGACCAAGACACTTAAAACATAATATTCAAAATGTCTAGAATACAATCCAAAGTTACTCAACATACAAAGAACCAGGGAACTGTGACTAATTTGTAAGGGAAAAGAAAAGCAAGAGATGCTAACCCCAAGATGACCTAGATGTTGGAAATTTCAAAGACTTTGAAATGGCCATTATATCCATGTGTCTTGAAGGTAAACACTCCTTACATGAACAGACATACAGAAGTTCTTGAAAAATAATACAAACATCAGAAAAGACTCAAATGGACATTTTGAGATCAAAAAGTATATTGCCTAAAATTAAAAAGTCATTGCATAGAGACAGTGACAAAGGAAAGAATCAGTAAAATTGAAGATTAGATAGATATAATAGAAGTTATCCAATCTGAAAACCAAAGGGGACAAAATGAGAACATAATAAATAATAGGACATTTGTGCCACTGTAGGCCTAGAAGGGCAGAAGGAATAAATACAAAAATATTTGAAGAAATAATGGCCAAAGCTCCCCTGAATTTGCTGAAAGACATAAATATACATATTCAAGAAGCTCAGAGAACCCTAAGGATAAATGCAAAGAAAATCATACCAGACTCATTAAAATCAAAGTTCTGAACACAAAAGTAGTTTTCTTAAATCTTGACAGTAGCCAGAAAAAAAAATGACATATTACATACAGGGGAACAACTATTTAAATGACTTAAGTCCTCCCATCAGAAACCATGGAGACCACGGACAGTGGAATAACATTTTCAAGAGTTGAAAGAAAAGATGTATCCACCCAGAAGTCTATATTTGGTGAAAAGATCCTTCAGGAGTGACAGTAAAATGAAGACATTCTCACATGAGAGAAAAATAAAAGAATTCAACACCAGCACACCTGTTTTAAGAAAAGTGCTATCAGTAGTTCCTCAGGCTGAAAGGAAATTATACCAGAGAGACACTTGGAACTTTAGGAATGAAGGAAGAACAATGGTAATGGTATCTGGGTAAATAAAATACTCTTTTTTTTTAAATGTGAAGGACTATTCAGAACAAAAAGTGTAACATTCTCTGGTGGGGTTTTCAATATATGTGGATGTAATACAACAATTATAACAAAGGTTAGAGAATAAATGGATCTGTATGGTTTTAGGCTTGAAATAAAGGGCTGGGGAAGCACAGAAAATAAAGGACCTAGGAGGATACAGAGATTTTTTGGTAATGTGTTCTCATATGGTACCTGCAAGCTGTTAAATTCTTTCACAAAAATTCGACATTTTAAATGTGCTGATGTAAGGTAAGATGTATTTAAATTATTTGATAAAGAAATAATTGTTTCCTACATTGCTAAGTTTTATTTCTTTCTTATTTATCAACTTCTTTGAAATGATGCACAACAAACATATCAGAATGGGGTAATAGAAAAAACAAGGAAAGATGAAAGTCATTTGTAGTAGTATGTGCTACCAGAAGAGAAATTTGCTTTCCTGTATCCATAATCTAGGTTAAAACTACTAAATGTCTACACACATATGAAAATGAAACAACTACCCAGATAAGTAACAGGTATAAAACTCTCTTTCTGTATTTAGTTCTTACAAAAGGAAAGACGCTAGGAAATTGTAATTAATCCCAGACAATTGCCTTTAATTCTTCAGTTTAGCATTTGTGGAAACAGTTTAGAAAATGTTACTGTAATATACATATAATACCAGTGATCTTCAAACTTTTCCTAATAAACCACCTAAGAGAATTTGCAAAACCAGGTGTTCCCTCGCACATTTTTAGTTGCATCTGAAAATTTTCATCGTAGACTCAAAGAGTGGCAAAGTGTATCAGTGTATCACCAACATAGATTTTCAAATAAAGCCATTACATTTTTTTCAATGTCCAATGGAAAAACAATTTCATATCCATCATCATTTAAAAATATATAAATAAGACCTTCTTTGAAACTGGGAAAGTTTGTGTCATTTTTCTCCTTTAAGTTACACCTGATGAAATTTTACCTTGTCCTAATATGTTTTCATGCTTGAAAGTCTTCTTGATCGTCTATCATATACCTGCAATAAAATATTTGTAAGTTGAGTTTTAATATTTTTAAACTTTTGTGACCAAAAAACTCTACTATGTGTTAGAAATATTTTTCCCTTTGGGTTATCATTACAATTTTTTGTACACAGATGATCAAAACAACCTAAATATATCATGAATTTTGATGAATGCTTATAAACAAAAAAAAAGAAACACATCTCTTGACAGATGAAGTTTTTCCCATTTGCTTAATGTGTTCAAGTATGACTTATTTATTGCTTGAATGAGAAAGCAACAATTCTGTTTTCATTTATATGTATGTAAGCACTGGGAAACTTTGTTCATTATTAAGTAGATGGGAATAGGAAAATAAATTTACCTATTTTACCTATGTGCCTACAGCAATATCACCAAATTCTTTGAACCCATTCAAAGTTATGTGCCAAAAATTACATAGAAATCTATTATAAAATAATTTGTAATGATCTGTCAGCTGATACCTTTATTAGTTCCTCCTTCAGTTTTTCTGAAAACAAAAAACTGTTTTCAACCTGACTTTAAAAGAACATATTGACCTGAAACACTTACTGTCTGATGCTAAAGTTTCCATTACAGTCGCAAAAATAAAGTGTGCTTAGACTTGCTGTCTGGTCAGAGTAGGTTATTTATTATATTTACTTTTTACTATGACCTCTTTAAGTCAAGTTAATGGGCTTTCATTTTTTAACATGTTTAATATTTTCTGCCTCTTATTAACTAACAAAAAATAAAATTATGTGCTAGCTGCTAGACTGATCAATTTTTAACATTATATACTTTTATTCTTCATGAATATGTAGTAGCCAAGATTGAATGCGGCAACATAGGAGAAAAAAATATGGTAATACAGGGAAAAACAGAGAGAATTTTTGCAGCTTAAAAAAAAAAAACATGAGAACAGTGAAAAGGCTGTTTTACTCCAAAAAAGAATCTAAAATTTGAGGTTTTTCTTTTCCTCATCCCACTTTTTTCTGTGTGCTTTGTCTACTTTAAGCCTAAGCCTTGAAGTCCTCTGGGCGCAGTGCTTTACTCTAGAGCATTCATCCTCCACCACACGGCACACGCAGAACTATTGCTTCAGAAGTTTGGGAGGACGGGAATGCAGCTCTGCAGCCTTTTCCAACAAAATACCCTTAGCGAACCCTGCAGGACCTTCCCGTAAAGCCACTCGGCTTTCAGGAACTCACCGGCTCCAACACTCCGCACACCAGGAGGCGCTACCCTTACTGCGCAAGCGCCAGGTGTGACCTCTGAGACGTCCAAAAGAGGGCGCTAGTAGTTCCGGGTGTTTCACTATGGCTCCCTTCTAGCCCCAAGCTTCCTTTTCTCTGCTACTCTCCGCAGTAGGCTCGCGAGGGAGCTTGGAGCCGGGCTGGGGGCGGGCCTTCCGGGAAAGGGACGCGCGGGAGAGGAAGGTCAAGGCTAGGTAAGGCTGTCTGTGGATTTTGGGGGCTCCAGTGCGATAAGGGCAATGGCTGTAAAGGTCCTGCGGCGGTCTCCAAACTTGCAGAGTCACCAAGAATAGGATGTGCCATTTTCGTTGTTAACCAGCTCGGAGGCTTCCCAGGTATCATACAAACACCTTGACCTTTTCCTGCGTCAGCTGGGGAATTTACCGAACGACGGACGCTAGCGCAGTTTTCTCTCAGGCGCAGTTACTACCTTCCTGACTAGGTAACATTCAAGGCTCAGTTTCTCTGCTTATCAGACGGCCTTGTGCGCCTTAGGTTTGTGTGGGACATGCAGATTAATCTTGCTACCAGCTTAAAAATATTCGCGAAATGCCTAACGTCGGTCAACTGGACACTTCCATCACAGGCAGGCGTAATCGAGTCCGTTGGAGCTGCTTCTGCGACCCAATGAAATAATCGGTACTGGGCTTTAAAAATAATACAGCATGTGTTTAGATCGTTTTCCTGTGAAGCACGTGTGCACAGTGTTGAATTCCTTGGAGCGTGATGATTTTAGCTCAGGCACTGTGCCGCAAGTTTTGCATGTCAGCCCCGTCGGTGGTTTAACCGTCTTCCTGTAGATGTCGAAACGGAGGCAAAGACTACGTACTACAAACGCTGTATGGCAGTTTAACCGTAGAGGCAAGCTTGCAACCAGCATTTCTACCCCAAAGCTGGTGCTCTCCGCTCTGCAGTGGTTTTTGAGAACATAACAAAACCTACTCCCCAGCAGAATTTACATACCCATACACGCACGTTTCAACATACTTTTAAAAAGTAACCAGGTATTCATCACATTGAGGGATATCCAGGTTAAGAACCCGTCCAAAAACAAAAGCAAACGCAGTTCAATGCCAATCATTGAAATAAATCCGACCTTTTAAAAGCATCAGAGCTATCAGATAAATCAAAGAAACTTGCCTTTTTATGCCAAAGTAAAAATAGGGCAGTTTCCCTGTGTGGGCTTAACATGTTTTGCTCCGCACATTTGGATAATTTATTTTTGCTTAGCATTTTCAACTCCAGTTAATTTTTCTTCATGATACTGTTTTCTCTAGTTCACATAAGGAAAAGTGATATTTTTAAGTGACCATTTTGTACTTAGAATGGCTTCATGCGAATAAAAATATAATTGACATGCAAATTATTTGCTTTTTATTTTAATATCTTTAACATATCATTTTTTTAAAGATGAAAGATTCCATAAGGCATAGCAGGGGGTCCTGAAAAATCCTAAGGCTTCCCAATTAAAAGAAGTTTTTTTAAGCTAGTAAGAAAGTGGCAATTTGCCAGCCTTAGATCAATATTTATAAACAGCAGAATTTTTAGCCACTTTAGCCTATGTAAAAAAAGAAAAGTATATCATGCTCCTACGCCATTTTTTTTTTGGCCTCATCAGAGACATACAGGCTTGCTCTGTGTAAGGAGAGCTACAGAGCAGTAATTGATCATTAGTACTATTTTCAGTTTGCTTCTATTTAGCAAGTAGTTCTTTGTTTCTAGTATAACAGATTCAGGTTTGAAGAAGCTTATTCCCTTTCTCCATCATAAAAGTTTTAGTGTTTGGATTTTGGGGTATAACCATGATCCAGTGGATTCTAGTGAAACCTTACTACTTAGGATTTATGTGTCCCAGTAATTTGCTACATACCAAAGTGGACATGGAGGAAACCTAGCATCCTGTGATGGTTTCAGTGGCCACAAATTCACAGTGGTCTAATGAGTCCCTTCCTCCGTGACAGCTGTCAAATTACCAAGCTGCTGGTCTCCTTCCCTCTGTTTCTCTGTCTTTGTGAGGATGTCATTTCAGTGTGTCTGTATAGACCATATATATAAGCACCAAATTTACAAAAAAGGTTTTTTTTTAAGTTATATTTACTTAGTGCTACTGTCTTATTTCTCACAATAGTCCTGCAAGCTTTGTTTTCTGAAAGGAAAATTAGATTCAGAGAATAGGTAACTGTTCAAAATAACCCAGGTAATAAATGGCAGACCCAGTACTCAAATCTAGGCCTCAGAATTCCATGCTGCCTCTGCATTTATATATATATATATATATATAATTTATATATATAACTTTTGATATATAGGCTATAATTTATGCATATTACAGATCTATTCTTACACATTATTTCAACATTGTATGTCTCTGAATAAGTTATTTTCAGTTAATAAGAACTTAACTCTTTAAAAATAGAGTGCTTTGGAATTAACATATTTTCCTGAAAACACTGCAACAAAGTGACCGTTCCTAGACTGCCTGACAAATTAACTGTGGAAATACCGTGCACTTAAAACATAAATCCATTCTGATGCCATAATAGTAATTAAGCAAAATGAAGCAAAGATAATTGAGAAGTAATTTGGGTTTTTTTAAATCTAATGTTTGGAAAAAAGATAACTTTAAAGGTGGAAGGAAGAGAATAGGTAAAGCATGCAAAGAAATTTTGTATCTTCTTAAGGCAACTTCTGGACATTTGCAAGGTCTATAGGGGTTTGTAGCACTACTTTGTTACTGTTTTCTATTTATACATCAAACTATTACTGCTTTTTTTTCTCATTGATGAAAATATAACCCTAGTGCTAACAAGTCCAACCCATCCCCATTCACATAATAGAGCCAGTTTGGATGAGAACTGAATTTGGGAACTGAGTGCTGAAAGGGAAGGAGAGAGCAAGGCTTGCACATGATCCTCAGGCTGAGGCCACAGGAAAGAGACCTTTGATAGGAGGGTGCCCCGTTGCTGGCCTTCAGGTGGCATTGTTGGCTCAAGATTGCTTGGTTGGTGATCAAAATGGTGCACTGCAATTAGTTTGAGATCAGCCCCTGTTCTTTGAGTGGATCTTGAAGTAGACATGAAAAATCCCTTAAAGGGTGGGTTGTTTGCATTGGTTGATTTGTTTCTTACAAGAGTTATTTTGAAATTTACTTGGCACCATTCCTTTTTAGAAGACCTTCTTTTGGTATATTTCCCCCATTGATTTTTCAAGATAGGTTTCTGCTTTTTGTTTCTGTGTGTAGATAAACTCTTTCATCCCCGCTGAACTATCCCCCAGGATAATCTCTTAGTCAATAAAAGATGCTCATCTCACTCCAAAAATTTCACATATACTAGCATATTCTGCCAACAGTAACTAGCACCTAGTCTGGTCTGGAATAGGATAAAATAGTTCACCAGCAATGTCCTTAATTTTTATGTATCATTTATATATATAACTTTTGATATATAGGCTATAATTTATGCATATTACAGGTCTATTCTTACACATATTTCAACATTGTATGTCTGAATAAGTTATTTTCAGCTAATAACTGGTTTGCATTAAAGCAGAATATAAAAGATAGAAGATAAGACAAGTAACATCAACATTCATAAGTACCTTCTATTCAGGAGTAAAATGAATCTTTGGAGCTGTTGAGTTTATTTCTATAAGACTACTATCTCTGTTTTTCCCAAATGGCTCTGTCTCTAGGCAGAATTCGGTACAGCATCATAGAGGCTAAATGACCTCATAACTCATTAGCAGTTCTCAGAGCTATCTGGAGCCCTTGAGGAGAATAGTGTTCAAAGGGCTGATAATAAAGACAACAGCGTAATTATTCCTCTGCTATGATTAAACCTTCAGATGGCAAGCAGTCAGCATATTTATCCCTCAGATGGCTGAGGTGGGTGTTTTCTGAAGGTATAATAATAATGCTGTGGTAGGGTAACTTGTTTCTCTTTCTTCATCTAGCCTGCAAATAGGTAAATAGACCTATTGAATCACAAAATAGTTGATTGTAAAAAGGACAGCAAGGAGTAATGTATGTTCACAATATGTGAATACCAAATGTAAAAATGGCTAATGTAAGGCATGCAATGGAAATTGCCACTTGGGACTCAGCTCCAAACCTTGGCCTGCCAACATGATTGATTCATGCGTGGCTTGTGGTGTTTTTATGTCCTAAAGTATATATTAGATAATCTTGGGATTTCTTACACTAAATCTGTTTATCTTTCTTCTCATTTTCTGTAGGGACTTCTGCTCCTTGCTGCCCAAGAATGTCTTCGCTTTCAGAATATGCCCTGCGTATGACTCGTCTGAGTGCCCGGCTCTTTGGTGAAGTTGCCAGGCCTACTGATTCCAAATCCATGAAAGTGGTGAAACTGTTCAGTGAGCAGCCTTTGGCCAAGAGGAAGGAGACATACGACTGGTATCCAAATCACAACACTTACTTTGCACTCATGGGCACACTACGTTTTTTTGGCCTCTATAGGTAATAAAAGACAAAGAGTAAGATACTTTGTTAATAGATTAGAAAAAGAATGTTAGCCTTTCTGTCCTTACAGTTTTGTGGTTCTTAACAGTAGTACTAGGTAGTTCAAAAGGCACAGTTTTTATGGGGGAAAGGCTTTCAAAATAGCCATAAAGGACACACCAAAACAAAAACAAAAAAAAAAGAAACATGCACTTATTGGAAGACATATTTTAATTATATCTAAAATGTGACTAACATTGACGATACTGAGCTATAGAGAGATGTTTAATATTCATTAATCTAAGAGCACTCTAAGGGGATGCAGAGGAAGACGGGGCCAAATGCTGAGCAAGAAAACCTCAGCCACCCAAGTTTCAAGACCAGCAGGTTTTTACTGGTCAGAGCCCCCTGCCCTGTAGCAGATCCACTTCCTGGCTAGCATACAGGAGCCTCCTTTCTTTCCTGGACAGTTTCATCAGAGTTCTTATTTCCTTCTACCCTCTTCCTGGCATTTTTAGTTTGAACCCTTTTTGATGTGTTAATTTGCTCTATATAAGCTATAGTTGGCCTTTAAGAGTAGATTACAAAGGTTCTTTCTATCATACAGCGTATGTTTGTGTGTGTGTGTGTTTGTGTGTATAGACACACACATATGAAGTGGGTGCTTAGGACTATATATTGCTCTAGAAAGAAAAGAGATCAAATATCTCTGATCATTTTATTTAAAAAATATCTAATTATCAAACTAGCACATGCTCCTAATAAAAGAATTCAAGCAGTGCATAATTGTGTTAAAATACTTACTTATTTTTTTAAAATTTAAAGTGTTTTAATTGGACTTGCCTTAGGGCAACAATACAAAAATTAATTTGGGACTGTTCACTCTAATATAAGTAATAGTTCATTCCAGATAGCTAAAGATGGGTACATTCATCTAACCAACAGATATATTTTTAAGTACTTTCCATGAGCAGGCACTTAATATGGACAGTAGGGGAACAGTAGTGAACAAGATAGATTGTCTTGGTTAGTATATTATTAGAAATTATAATCCATGACATATTTTGAATTTCTGGAATTGCTTTGGGGCTATCTCCCTTGCCATTAGTCTGGGCTCAAAAAAGTTTTTTTTAATTTTATCATGACCTGAAATAAAATATCCTTGGAAGGCGGATCTCTCACCCATAACAAAAATCACATACAGCTATTTTAATTTACCTCTTTGCTACCACTCTCCATTTCATTGAAAGATAAAGCCTTGACTATCTTTGGGATCAGGGAAAAAGTACTTGTCATTTAGTTATCAATAGAAAAGCACAATTATTTTCATGTATTTAACCATTAGTTATGATAAATAGTGCCTCTAATACACAGCCTCCTTGGCATCAGGCAGGATGAAACTAGACAATCTTCAATAAAGAAGTCCCACTGCAAACCGCGGAGGGAAGCGCAGGCTCTCAGGGACAGTGACTCGTCCAGTCAGGCAGGTTCCCAGGTGGCAGCATCACAGAGACAAAGACCCCTGCCTCTGGAGCGTGGTTTTGGCTGGGGGTTGATGGGACTGGGAGAGGAAGAGAAGAATAAGGAAGAATTTATATATTAAATAAGTAAACTATGTGGTATGTTACAAAGTTGAACATGCTGTGAGAAAAAAAAACAGTAGAGCTGGCTGAGCAGGATCAAGAGTGCCAACACAACTCGGCCAGCAGGAGAGGACAGGCCGCAGCACTGACAGGACAGTCAGGGTCAGCCTCGTTGAGACGGTGAGGCTTAAGCAGAGACGTGAACATGGGGAGTGAGCCAAGTGGGAACTGGGGAAGAGCTTTCAGGGCAGAAGCCACGGGCAGAGCAGAGCCTTGAGGCAGGAGTGCCTCTAGCGTGCTCAAGGAGAGGCCCGGGGCTTCGCGGAGGCCATAGGGCTGTAGGGCCACGGCGGGTCAGGAAGCATCCTAAGGGCCATTCCTTTGTTCTGGGTGGAATGGCGAGCCATTTGCAGAGTTGTGAACAGAGGAGTGACATGATCTGACTTAGTTTTTGAAGGACTCTTATAGCTGGTCTGTTGAGAACAGACTATTTGGAGGTGATCATAAGCTTATCCTGAAGAGATTGGTTGTATCCATCATGTTTATGGAATGAAAACAGTGTACCCCATAAAGCCAATCTATTTTAAAACTGCCTAAGGAGTTAAAAATTGGACCCAGCAAACCTCTCTCTTATGTTTAATTCATATGCTGTTATTATCTACACTTTACAGACCAGGAGACTAAATAAAGCACAGAGAAGGGAAGTCACTTATCTAAGGTCACACAGCTATTAAATGATGGACTGTGATTTGAACCAAGTTCAAATGGATTCCAATGCTTACATATTTAAATGCTATACTGTTTTAGGTATTTGGTCTTAGAATGCAGACATTTTTATACAGTATAGTCAGTCTTCATCTTACACCCCATCCACATGTACATACTGTCCTGGCTGCCTTGGTCCCTAGAGCACCTGTCTGTTGACCTGGCTCCCTTTTGGCAGAGGCTTTCCCTAGGCAGGTTTTTGTGTGAGTTACCCATTGTCATTTAGGCAGCTTCATCCAGACCTCTTCCCTTGAAGTAGGTACTAATTCCGGGGGCTCTGGGTGTCTCTGTGTAGCTACTGAAGCTTATGCCTACTTTCTACCCCTCTCAGTGTTTACTCTGAGTGTTACAGGGAAATTTGGGCTAATTATTAGTATTGTATCCTAGTTACATAGGTTTTCAGGGGCTGACCTGGGAATTTAACTGTTTGTGGGATTGTTTCTTTGAGGGGAAACTGTAACTTAGAAATGAGCTTTGGAATACAACCATCTGTACGCTGGGGACTCCCTGTCCTTTCTGTTCACCAGGTTGAGCACATGCCCTGTAAAAGTCAAAGACAGAACCAGAATGACCCAAGGGGACAGTGCTAGACTAGTGTGCTTTTCCAGTCAGGCAAAAGTACTTGCTAATTATTTTTTTCTTTATCCACTTAGAGATGAGCATCAGGACTTTAAGGATGAGCAGATGCGTCTAAAGAAGCTTCGTGGAAAGGGGAAACCAAGGAAAGGAGAAGGGAAAAGAGCAACAAAAAAGAAATAATGTTGGTCCAGTAGGAGAAAAAGTGTCTTTCTCAGCAACTGACAGAAGAAAGTGTATTTATCTTTCCACATGTTGGAGGAGTGTAAGCTTCCTAAATTGAAGATTATTTGGAGGAGCATGCATCTCCATGGTGAAGTCTAATCCAGTTGAATTATGACTGGTTTCTTGGACACATTCTAATTCTGAAAAATTATTTTGGCCCTGGTTTTTTAATACAAGGTTTACCTCATTCTCTAAAGAAATGAATGCATAAATTATTGTTGAATGAGTTGTTTGGGGTGGAAATGGGATAGGGGAGTGGAGGGAAAACACGTTACATGAGCACCCGGCAGTCTTCTCCTCCCGTCTTGCTTCTCTGCTTAACCTGCCCGAAACTCGTTCGTGTCTGGACATTCACTCACTGTTTCCACCACCACGCTCACAAACTTCACATGCTTCTCCACTGACTCGTTTGAGAGTATCTAATATGACAGATTAGTGACCTGAAAGGCTGTACCTAGTAAAACAGTATGGAGTATCTGCTGTATACGAGGTACCGGGGTCTTGGTAAGACTGGTTAGCAACTGAAACGGTCCTTCCTCGTAGAACTTTCAATCTCGTGGGAAAGACATACTACATAATTACATAAATACAATGGCTGCAATGGAAAAATCCCGACTTCTGTGAGAGTGTGGATGGATTCTGGATTGACACAGAGATAGCAAGAGGCCCAAACCTTTAGAGAATTTAAAGAAGGCCTTCCTAATGAGGTGCTTTAGGCTAAGCTCTAAAGAATACATAAGGGAAGGAAAATGACGGGAAGTGTTTGAGGCATAGAGAACATCATTTGCAAAGGCCACAAGTAATTGTACTGTTGAGTTAACACCCCTGACCAGTACTGGTTGATCGTCAGGAAGGAGAGGCTACACCATGAAAAGGTTTGCGAGTTCTGTGAAAAGGCTTCAACTTAACCAACTTACCCTGAGGTCAGAGCATAGTGTTACTTCTCTGAGAGAAGACTACTGTATGTACTTGTGTAGCTAACCGCCAACACTGTATTCTAGTAATGAGTTGCCAATGAAGTTGTAAGGGCTTCTCTGATTTTTTCCCCCAAGTTGTTATAGTGAACTCCAGCACTGCCTAGTATATTTTTTAAAGTACCTTTTTCTTTTTTCACTGATGTAAAAAAACATGAAATTTACCCTCCTAACCATTTTAAAGAGTACAGTAATGTTAACGATATGTACATTGTCCTGCTAAGGTACTTTTTAACCCCTTTTCTACCTCTTTTGGGAAAAGTAAGCGAAGTGCACAGGCAGGAGGCTGTATAGCAGTTATCCAGCTATGATTTTCTTTGCCTGCAACATCAGAAGTATTGGCATTAAATGTGTAATTCCAGAACTAGTAAAAATGTCACTACTTACGTTTTGATAAATGATACTTTTAAAGGTATATGATCCAGATGGTATGACTATATTAAGGTGTTAAAAGTAAAAACTACCTAAAATTGGGTAATTTGTGTCTGACAGGTGAATTCCAGCAGGAGGCTGATAGACTGCATTCATTTAGAATTCTGAGCACTTGCTATGTGCCAGCCACACGCTTATTGTGTAGAACACAAGTAGACTTAGTCCCTGAGGTAATGTGACTGGGCGTGTGTATTGTGAAGTATTGTCAGGATCTCAGGGATTTACTCAGAAGAGAGCAAACACTTAATTCTTGGCCAGGGCAGCTGAGTCAGGTAGGTGAATGAGTACCCCAGGATGTTGGGCTGAGAAACAGGCTCTCAGCCTGAACTCAGTGTAGAACATCACAGTGGATGTTCTGAATTAACGCCATTTCCAACTTTTGGAGACAGCCTGAATGTAAGAGAAACTGCATTAGATATCTACAGCTGAACTGAGTCAGAAAAGAAGTAAACAATCTGTGTGTTGGTTTGATGACTCCTGAGCCTGCAAGAAGCCTTAGCAGTGAGTAATAGGGAAGTCTGTAGACAATTCAGTAGATTAGTGTGCCACTGCTCCACACTGGAAATCAGAAACTAAAGCTAAAATTTGTAAGTTGTACCCTGAAACCCACTTGATACAGTAAACACTATGTGATTTAAAACAGCCTGTGCTGAACTATGGTGGATCAGATGGAAAGTACAGAGTAAGAGGGAAGAGGTGGTTCTTGGTGCTGTGAAAGCAACACGTTTCAGGACACCAGTGATTGAAGGGTACGACAAGGACTGAGTGCAATCAGGAGAAAGAACCTTTTAACTGCAGGTTTTGGCTAGCCAGGTTGTTTAATTGGCTTTCTCTGATCAAAACCAAAACTGTTTGTTTTTCTTCTGGTGTTTTGTGTATATGGCAGATTTTGCCCTTGATTTCAATATGGCATAGTGAAAAACTGGGTTATGGATTCAAAACCTAGTTCTGTTTACTGGCTTAGTGACCTTAAGTCACATCTCTGAACTCTTTCTGCCTCTCTAAAATAAGTAATGCTTCAATGGATTAATGAAATACTAAGATTTAGGAAAAGGACTATGTAAATTGTAAAAGATGAATCAAATGTTTTTACATGCAGTTGTGTGACTAGTAAGAATTGCTGCATCTTACTAACAGATTTTTCCAAGGCAGTGTTAACAACAAATATTTGCTAAAAATATAAAATGCTCTTCATTTACAAGCAGCACAATAGGTTCAGGAGGAAAGCAGTAGGACATGCATTTTATTATTTATGTAAACATGTGTTGCAGAAACTCATTTTTTTAAAAAGCATATGTATGTGTGTATATATCTGTCTATATATGAGTATATAAATATAATGCTGTTATTTGTAAAGCACCTTCCATGAGAGAGTAAGTTAAAATTAAAAATTATCTTCTTTGCCCTTTCCCTCTTTCCTTACATATTTCCCTCAAAGCTTCCAAGTGCCTCATTTTAGAGATTTAGAGGCAGGAGCAAATTTCATGAGCAATAGATAGAGGGAAACATCTTTTAACCTGCCAACCCTTTCTTTATGGTCCTTAAGTATTCATTTATAAGTTCCAAAGAAAGCATTTCTTTAAAATAAAATACTGAGATAAAATCAGCAAAACAAACAGTAATATACTCAAAAACACTTAGTTAAAACAGAAGAACAAACAGTAAAACTCTGGATATTGAGATAAGTGGAAAACCAGTAACCATTTATATTGAACTTAAAACTGAAAAAATGTTTAGTTGACAAAGGCAGCGAAATGGGAATCATGAAACTACTGTGAGGACTGGCCAAGAAAGTCCCCAAATGCAGTGTTCTAACTTAATTGGAGATCTGGCAATACTGTAAGTTGATATTAAAGTAGGAACTAGAACAAACCAACATCAGCTATAATACCTTTTTCATTCTGCTTAAAGAAATGTGTTTCCTGAGACAGTGAATAGATTCATTTTTGGAGAGCTTTCTGTGTCTACTGCAGAAAACGTGAGCTCCTCCTTACTGACAATCTAAATTGGTGCTTGGTACAGAATACCTTCCCAAAAGAGCCACAAACAACTAATTGACCCATTGAGTTTCAAATGAAAACAGCACTCTAAATAGAAATTGAAAGTCTTGGAGGCAACACCGGTTGAATCTAAAAGTTTGAAGATACCGAGTTTGAGAACTGACCAGTGTGTTAAGCACCAAACAAGTTAAATATAAATTCTTAATAAGGACTTTAGAAGAGATCAATGCAATTTGAAACATCGGGAATGAGTTTCCCAGAAGTGAAAGCAGTGAATCCAAGTAATGTCCACATTTTGGAGCACTTAACCACACACTGGGAATTGTGCTTTGTAGTCCTTACCTCTTGTAACCCCTGTATTTTAAGTACCCCCATTTTATAGGTGAGGAAACTCAGGCTGAGATCTTTTGCTCAAGATCTCACAGCTCTAATTATTTAGGCTGAGGTTTAAATCCAAGACACCTGGTTTCAAGCCTGTACCGCCAATCACCACACTGTTACAGATGGAATCCTCACAATGACAAAAGGTTACAGCAGACAGCACATCAAAGGCCCACAAACAACCATAAGAGCTCTGGCTGGCAAGGGCTATAATGATGAGCATGGCCTGGCAACCTCAGAGCCATACCCTGAATGAACCAACAGGCCCTCAAGTTGCCAGTGTCCTTTTTATAGCCTGAGGAGGCAGCACTGATAGAGCTCTCTCAGACTGAGGGGCACCATATCAAATACCGTTTGTCCAGTGACTTACCATAGCACTATACTTGTTATATCACTTAATTCCTACAACAGCCCTATGAGGTAAGTACAATTTTTCCCATTTTATACACTGAGTTTAGAGCTGTGGTTCTCAACTCTGTCTTGTCTCAGGATCTTGCTGAAACAGAAAACTCCACGTGAAGACCCAGATCAGCGGGAACCCTAGGAGAGCACTGCCTGTGCCTGGCCGGGATTCAGTCAGCCTCCATTTCACAGGAGCAGGCCTGGTGAGGGGTGCTCTGAGCCCTCACTGCAGCCGGAGCCCCTGAGGGCAGGGGCAGCTCTGACAATCCCTGTCATCAGGAACTGAGGAGACAAGAGAATACTCTTCTCAGGAGGAGACTAGCACACCGGTATGGTTTCTGCTCTTTCTATCACATGTGATTCTCTAAGCAGTAAGGCATCTAGGTTACTGTTCGGGGATTTTGTGATGACAAAGTGAAAAGTGAATATGATCCCATGGGTCATGGAGAAGACAGACATAATTGTGTGGTTTGAAGACAAGGGTAGGAAGAAAAAGAGATTGTTAAGTCACGGGAGAGACCACTGTCAGGAAACAAAAGCTTTTTGATTTTGTCTTTCCGTGTAAGTGCATTTTACTTACTCTGCTAGCGAACAGAGGAATTGCTGGCTGCCAGGCCTGAGCAAGAGCAGGAGCTCCAACTGGAAGTGACTTCTGGGCCCCGTGGTCGGTAGGTGGTGCTAACCCAGAGTGGAGCCAGACAGTGACCAGCCCCACCAAGGCAACTGGCCTGGCAGGTGGTGTGTCCTGAAGAGCAGGTGTGAGCTAGGTTGCTCCAGGTGTCCAGCCACATTTGATGGGTCGGCCAGGGAACAGGGAGCAGGAGCAGAGTGTGGGGAGAGCCTGGGCCTCAGTCAGAGGGCAGATCCCACACATAGATGCAGGCAGCTGTGGGAAGGGAGCCCCAGGTGAATGAGGGGTTCTGCAGCTGAGAAGGCAGGTGGCCCTTGATGATCTCGCTTACTGCACTTACTCCATCCACAGGTGGTCAAATTCTTGGTGGAGAGGTTAGGTGAAGCTGCAAAATAAAATTAAGGTGCAAAGTCAGCACCACACAAAAATCAAAAAGTGGATATAACATTAGGATCTAAGCAAAGGGAAAGTAAAGATTAACATGTAAATATGATTTATAGTCCACCTTTTTATTATATGATACCTAAATTGATTATATACCACCTAAATACATCTAGCATGTAAAAATTAGGGTTTTTCTTTCCTGTATTTATTTTCTTTCCTTTGGAACTCTTTACTGTCTTTAACCTTTTCAGTTAGTGGGACGTAAGTGGAAGTGACTTTCTTTCCCAGTGCCACAAGACTGCCACTTGTCAGCCAGTGTGACTCTGTTAAGACAATAACCCTCAGAGGATGGGCTCAGCCCACCCACAGAATCATTACTAGATGCTTCTCTGAGTCAGCAGGCTGGTTGCAGCCCAGGCATCTGCATTTCCAACAAGCATTTCCACGTGACTTATGTGCACTCTTAAGGCTTGGGAATCACTGCTTTTGGAATTCTGGTGGAACCCTTGAAAACTGAAAGCAATAAACCCTGGTTCTGCTTGCAAATGTATCAAAGATGTCTCAAATCAACTCTGAGTTGTGATGTCCTCATCTCCACTCTTCCTTCAGCCTCTGATTTTATAGTGTCTCCAGCAAGCTCACAAGTGTTTTTTTCTTTTATTTCCCAAGTATTTTATTCTTAGTGAGTAGTTGGCATTAATTACTGCTTATCACTAATATGATCTAGTGTGATCTTGTCTCTGCTGTGGCCTATGTGGGGGCATGTTCAAGGACACAAAGGCAGTGATATCCCAGTCTTTGAGTGCTAAATTCCAGCCATGTGGTCTGCCCCAGACCACCTGTGCAGGTTATAAACTTCACAGGAAGGTATGACCAGAATTATTGTTCTTGTGAAAAATAATCATCATTTGATCTTTCCTTCTCCTTTGCTAGTCTTATGAAGTCTCCCATTGCATTTCACAATCAGCATAAATAGCAGGGAAGATGAAAGTGAAGAAAAGCTCAGTAATCTCGTTTGGAGATCATAACCTGTTTGAAGCACAACAGGTAGGCCCTCCAGGATTCTTTTTGCCGCTTTGCCAAACCACTCACCCAAACCACTCACTGGCACCGCTCCCCCAGGAGGACAGGGTGGCTGTGTGATCGATGGAATATAGGAATGAAGGGTATTAGTCCAGATCATC